GAGTAGGTGATGAGTGGATATCAGAGGGAGCCAAGGCAGTTCATCATGAGAAACAACCCATTAGGAACCAGGCATCATTAGATTCTGCAGTTGTGGGACTTTTTGACCAATAGAATAAAAAACAACCTATAGTACTAACTTACAGACTTTATGAAGAATTAACAATCTGCCTGAGAAGTCAAGAAATGAGGTAAAATGGGCAAGTATATCAAACAACTGAAATGCACAGCAGCAAAATTCTCCATTAATTTTTGTGCATTTTAAGATATGCATAAAAAGATAAAATACCAAATTCTTCCTGCTCAGAGCTGATGAGAAGCAGCTCTCCTAAGACTTGATTACAGTTGCTAAGGCATTGATTTAAATGTCTTCGAAGCAGGAATCTGTTTTAAGGGAAAGTAATTGTAAAAATGTAGACTGTTGCCCCTGTTTTGTCAATGAAATGTTTTCAAAAGCATCTGAATGCCTTGGGATACCTTTGTGTCAGTGAAAGGTAGCATGCTTTAGCAAACTTCTGAGCATGGTCCTGAGAAATCTATGTTTTCTACCGTGTCTGAGATGCGGACTATGGTGTTGTAGTTCAAGATAGCATATTGAGTCTAACTATCTACCCCACAGATGCTGGATTCTGGTTCTTAATAAGGTCAATGGAGTGAAATAGGGAAAAGACTAGACAGAGCGACTAGTGCTACTGTACTTACCTTTCTCTGTTGACTGCATGGGGTTCAGCAGTTTTCTGTAGCAGTTAAGCAGAATCACTCTCATAGTGTATAAGTTCCCATTTTTTTCAAAGGAGGTGGGCTGAGCATGACTGTCAATGCCTATTTTGGAAAGTGAGAGAGATGTTTGGCCTGGACAAATGAATGGAATGTCCTGAGAAAACCCACATGGCCTGAGTCAAAAAAAACCAAACCCAACTGTGATCAGATGATGTGGGAGCTTGAACCAAGTAAACTCTGGTTCTGTGCTTGCCTTCAGGCTTTTGCCTTGCAAATTCCTGTCTTGGGTGATTCTGTTTGTGTAATCATGGCTGTGGGCGCTTGGAGTGATCACAGAAGAAACTGAAGAAAAGTTCATGACTTGCTTAGACATTTGTAACCAAGCCAAGATTGGTACCTAGTTTTCATGAACCTCAGCCTGCTGGTTTAGCTACAGTATGACATCTTTTATAAATTAATTTAAATGAGCTTTTTTAAAAATGGAAGCATTAAGTAGATGTAGTGTTCTACAATTTCCACTCTTTCATTTTTCTGGTTAAATGAGGCATTTCACCATGTAATGAGTTTGCCTTTCATTCACTGGCATTTTTTTTCAGTGTTGATTTGTAAGAAAGTATCTAAGTGCCTGAAATGTGTTATTGCATGTAGAAGGAAAACTAATAATGAAATAATTGAATTGTACACTTAAGGTTTTCTTTTAACTTGCTTTACTTTCTGAGTGTAAATTGTCTTTTATAAGCTGTCTCCTTAATTTCCTAAAGAGTAAGAAGAAATAGAAATAAAAAACCTTAAAGAATAATATTTTTCTATAAAGCTGTCATATTTTTGACAAAATAATCAAGTAGAGTAGTATCTCCTTAGCATTTTTGGCAGAGTTTTCTGCTGTGTAGTTCTAATGAAAAAATCAACCCGAACAACTAGGAGTAAGATTTGGGATGATTTGACATGCACTTTTTTGATGGCCATGCTGATTTAAGCAGTTCCTATTGCTCATTCCTGCCCAAGTTCCTGGCAGGAGGATGGAAACAAATGGCAGAGTCAGGGCAAGGGTTGCTTAAGCCAGAAGAGCCACTTGTAATGCAAAAAAAATGCATTACAAACTGTGGTAGAAAATTTCTGTTAGAAACATATTGCTGCTCTGTTTTATTAACATTACTTAAAGTACTGCTTACTGTCAAACTGCCTCATAGTTCTTAAGGAGAAATAAGAATTTTTCTTTCTTCTTTTCCCTCCCCCTTAACCCATCCCTGTATTTTTTGTTCAGAGATTAACGTATGAGGAGAAAATGGCTCGTCGGTTGCTGGGAGCAGACAGTGCTGCAACTGTCTTCAACATACAGGAACCAGAAGAGGAGCCTGCTATACAGGTGCCACATAACTCTACAATTTCATAGGAAAATAAAAAATGCCTTTCAATTTTTCTTTTTTACAGGCTGTGAAGTGTCTTAAAAAAAGTCCTATATAAGACAATAAATATACACACTATAGGACGGTTTTGATTACAGACGTCATATGTTATATATCAGTGAAGTAAACTGGAGGATCACATGCCTATTGCTCAGTTTTTCCATACTGAATAAGGTTAAGAGTTCTCAAATGTCTGCTCTCTGCTTTAAATTCTTCCGTTTATCCTATTCTGTCCTGACCTTTAAGTCTCTCAAGGCAAAAATACATCTACTATCTTGAAACCATCTCTTTATGTGTGTAATCTGCACTTTTTGGATGCAGACCAAAAACACAACAGAAAGTCTGCTTGAAAGGCCAGGTACATGTTCTCCATTGTTCAGATGCCAGAGCTGCTATTCGGAAATGTGTAGCATGCGTTTGCTTATGTTACCACATAAAGTACGTTCTCCTGATAAAACCTCTGAGAAACTGTCACGGATGCCTCTTGGTCTTCTTTCTGCCTCTTGATCTTTTTTTCTACCCTTGCAGGAAGCTCGCTCTGTTGGTGCTTCTGTAGTGAGTCCTGTGGATATTCAAAAGGTTAACGTTTTCACCTTTTTCTGTCTTGCATTCTGTCCATTGATTTTTTTTTTTTTTTGCTGTCATCCTTGCCCTTTCCCTTCTACTGTTCTCGGTTAATAACGGGAGGTCACCTAGCATTAATAACTGGGGAGATTTGGGCTGCACTCCCTTCAGGGTGTTAAAGTTGTTCTGTAAGCCTAATTGTCTGAGTGCAGGCAGCTTAACTGCAGTAATGGCGTGCTCCAGTATCTTCCTGCTGTAATGTTAACATACACTGATACTAACTGCCTTGCATCCGAATCAGCTGCTCTTTATATATACCATGTGTACTTCAGGGTTTACTTTTATGGTAAACTTTCAGGGAACAAAGAAATTAAAAAAATATCTGCAGTTTACAAAGGTATTTCTCCTTCCAGTTTTTACCGTTATTGAGGGTTATGATTAGTTCTGTAACCAGTCAGTAGAAAGACTAGATGTCATTTCCAGACCAGAGGCAATGATAGAGGATGGGTATGTGAAAGGAGGCTTCGAATGAGACGTGTTCTATCGTAGATAAAATCAGGGTTAGAGACAGTGGCCAAAGGTCATTTGAAAGAGTGCCTGAATTTCTGCTGACTGAGAAGAGCATTGTCTAATAAAGATTTTTTTTTTTTTTTTCCTGCTTCTGAGCTTTCTTACATTCTGGCATTATCTTTGTTATCACTAAGATTCAAAGCAGGACTTTTGTACTGCAAAGTAGACAGAGTGAACAGTTCAAGAAAGTAAATAACTCTGTATGTCACAGTAACGTTTCCTAGTATCTGAATAGCAATTTTAAAGAAGCAGTAGTGGATGAAACTTTCCACTCTTCTTTCTATATCTTGAATACTCTTATGATAAATTTTGTTTTTAAGGAAGAAGTGATACTTTTGGCCAGACAAAGGGGACCATGGCAACAGGAGTAAAGGGAGGCAACTATCATGGCCTGCCAGTGTTGCCATTTTCTCGTTTTCTTTCTAATTTTTACAGGCAATTGTAAACAAAATCATTTTAGCCTTCTGGTGCAGCCTCCGGTACAGTTCTATGCAAATAGCAGATGTGAACCATATGGTGTTCTGGCCATCTGGAAACAAAACCCACTTTAAATCTGCCTGTACCCTCAAGGAAATATTAGTGTGTTTCTTTTGTCTTTATGAACTGCTTCAGAATACTTTTATTCTTATAGGCTTTTTTAAAAAATGGAAAGAAAGCAACCAATGACTTTCCTTCCCCTTATAAATTAGACCTTAAGATAACATGAAATACAATTTTTGCCTCATACCAGATGTCTTCATTGTTTCATAGGGAAGTTATTGGAGGCATGGATTATAGTTTTTCTTCAACAAGATAGAGTTTCCTTTTATATGTAAAACCTTAATGGATTGTCAAAGATCAGCAGAATACAAAAAAACATTAGGAACACATCTTGCTGAGCAATGTGTTGAAGCTGGACACTAATATGTACCTTTCTTGTTTGACAGGAGTATAAAGTCTCCAGCTTTGAGCAAAGATTGATCAGTGAAATTGAATACAGGCTGGAGAGATCTCCTGTGGAAGAATCAGATGACGAGGTGCAACATGGAGATGAACCTATTGATAACAGTATGTCACCGTATTTTGAGATAAAGCTGAAGCATTACAAAGTCTTTGAGGGAATGCCAGTCACATTTACATGCAAAGTGGCAGGAAATCCAAAGCCAAAGGTAAGAAAAGAGGGTAAATGTTTCTAGAAACGCTCTGAAGAGTTCTCTATCGGTACCTTACAGTCGGCCCCTGGACCCTATGGGCTGTATCTTACAGGAACAGCAGACATTCTCTCTTGACAAGACAGACTCCTAGCTGGTATAAACTGTCAAATCTCTTTTGACATCACTGGAATTATTTAGATTTATACTAGTCAAAAATCCTACTATGAGGCTTCAGCTCTTAGTTACTCCCTCCTGAGACTTCATCTCAATTATTTTACCTAGAAGTAATACTTCCATCATTTTCAGAGTTACCTTCAGGGTACATCTGTACCACAGAACGCAGTGCAATGCTAGAAAACCCCATGTGAGCTGGCACAGTAGTCCCAAAAGCAACCTCTTCAGGTTAACAGTGGTAATTAGCTCAGGCACAGCAACATGCTAATGCAAAAATACGTTCCTTCTGGTTCAGAAGCCAGCATGGTACCTCTACATTCTTCAGCATTGCAGAGTTTATATCTACACACCCTGACAAGACTAAACTTTAGTGAAAGTTAGAGGAAGGCATAATAAAATACCATAAGCTCCCATATATCCCAACAGCAAGATGAGACATGATGGTGAGGTTTTAATGATGAGCTTCTGAGGGAGGGTTGGGCTTGGGAAGCATTTCCTTTTAGCACATGTAAAAGTACCAGTTGCGTGATGTGAGCGATCTGGAAGAATGCCTTCCTTTGGTAGGTTGTGTTTAACCATTTCAAAAATTGCTTGGCAATCAACTGACTCATTATGCAGCAGGCAAACAGCAGTAGCTTCTTCAGCTTCCTTGCCAAAGCCAGTATCTTCCCCGTGAGGTCCTTGTAGCTCTTACAGTGACCTCTTGTGGATAGGGGCTCTTTTCTTCTTAGACAAGATCAAAGGTGCCTTATCTCTTAGATAAGATCTTCACAGCAGCAGCCACATCCAAATCTCTCATCTAGTGTAAGTTTTACAGGCATTTAGGATTTTGAACAGAGATAAATGCAAATGACTTTACATGATTCTGTGTCCAATGATATAGGTGTATGATACTGCACAAACTGTAAAAAGAAAAATGGACTTTGTCAGGTAGCAGAGAAGGAACAACAGAGAACTAGAGCTATGCCTACCTTAGCAAGTAGTGCAGACCAGAAGAAGCAAATCTGTGGAATGGGATATCCATCCCTGCGTGCATTTCAGGAGGTTTTACTTCAGGCTAGCTCTAATCTCGTCCCACAGACTGAAGCAGATGCAGCACATTAGATGTGTTCTTGGAGCACATTTTCTGGCCTAGTTTCATCTGAAAGGAGTCCAATCCTGTGCTCCAAGACCGCAACACGATGTGAACCGCTGCAAAGTAAGTGGGGCTGATCAGTATAGTCATATCAAAAAAGCACTCCTGCTTCAAACTGAAGACACACACTGAGAAGATTAGCCCAGTCTGACTGAAACCAAACCTTTGATGTCCAGCATTACTTCTGAGATGACCGTACAGAAGAGTCTGTTGTGCTGAATAAGGGTGGAAGAGAAACGGGTCGGTTGGTGTTAGAGGTGCAGTGTGCTGGAGAGGTACTCTTTTTGCCTAAGGCTTATGACTAAGTTGCTGGATCACCTGTTATGAGTCAGCCTTAGTCAACTTCGCCATTCCGTAATTTTCACAGTTTTCAATTAAGGTGTAGTTTCACAGTCCTCTTAATCTGATTTAAGACGGATGAAAGAGGATGTCTCCTTTCCCTCACTCTCCTTGTTTTGGCGTTAGGGATTGCACAGCCAAGAAACCACATTGTTAGCACTTCCTCTAAAGCATGGCATTATAAAGGAGTATCTGATGTGAACGCACCCTGATTCAGATACGATGTTCTGTTTTTCTGCAGCGTCAAAGCGTGCACATTAAGAAGTGATTTGCTCTTGCACCTGGGACTATGACCCTTTATTCCGTTCACTTGCAGATGCTTTGTGCGATTCGTTAAGTTGCTTGGGATGGAACCAATTTCAGTCCCGTTGGATGGCTACTTGTTAGCTGGGTTTTGCAAATGTCAAAGGCTGTATCTTCCCCTCATCTGCCGGAGCATGCCAAGATAGCAATTTTGAAATGCTCGATGGCTGAGGGCTGCCCTTCTGCTGTCATTTGTTGAAGCTGGAAGTGTTGCCTCTGAACAAATGCTTTACTTTGGCAAATGAAAAGCTGGAAATAATTTACTAACTTGAAGCTCCTCCTTTCTAAGTATTCTGTCAGCTCTGCCAAGGAATGGCTTTGGGAAGGACTGTAGTGTTTCTAAAATCTGGCATTCATTACAAGGGGTTTTTCTAAGCGGGGTTATTGGCTTGATTATTTTTTCCCCTGAACATGCCATGTAAATTGAATACCGATGTGCAAATTCTGTCTTCATAAATATGACTTTTTAAACCTGAGTCTACTTTTGTTATATCCGTCAGTGTAATGCAAAACTATTTTCTCATTAAAACGAGAACCTGTGGTGATAGAGGAGGGATTGTGGAATACTTCTTTTTAAGAGATTTCTCTTCAGAATTAGGACAATGCCCTACAAAAGGTTAATTGAGACATGAATGTTGCATAAAGCTCGTACTGCTCGCTCTTCACATGGCTGAATATAATTCTTAGTGATTAAAAATGCCTGTGCTGCCCAAGATCAAAAACCCTTTTGTACTGTGTATGCCATTGTATTTCTAGTCATTACACATTGGTTTCTGAAAATCTGGTACAAATAAAAGCAATCCAGATGCGGTGTTCAGTGCTTACGTAGTTTAATGGTACATTTATTAAAAGGTATCCTAGAAAGAAAATACTTCACTGCAAGGGCCATTGTCTCCAGCAGTGGTAGTGTTTTACTTATCGACTCCATGTCAGATAAAGGTAATATTAAGAATTTACTTCTCGTAAGTAAAAGCCAGTGATGTGAATGCTTTTAAACTTAGTGGAAACGAGTATTGGACAACATATGCATGATGTTTGGATAGCTGGTTCAGTTAATATTTGCATGTATTTCCATGTAATAATTTCTGGCATGTCTCCTGATATTTTTGATAAGTGCATTGTTATTAAATAATTACAACTTAATGCAGTAGATTTCCAAGCAACGTTATGACACACGTAAAGCATGCAAGTTAAAACTCATTTTTTGCAGCTATGTTGTTACCAGCATCCATTAGCCTGTGTATGTAAGTGATCAAATATCTTTTGCATCTCCAGTAAGTGCTCTGTCAGCAGATGAGAAGACATGACTAAATCTTTTGTTAGCACCACAGAGTCTCTGCAAGGCTGCTGACAGACAAAATGGGGAACGAGTATAACCAGCTATTGAGGAAATGAAATCATTTCTAGTTATGCATAATGCTTGTTAATATAAAAACCACACATGGTAATTAATTTTTAAGGGAAATTTCCACTCGTTCCCTCTAAAACATTCTCCATTGTCTTTTTGTGAAATTTAAGAGATATCCTTAACATACCCACCCCCCGACGCAAGCCTCTAGGAAATTATTTAAAAAAAACCCAATAAGCCAGATCTCCAAGGTCTGTGCAGTCTTATGCTGTGCTGGTGCATCTGCCTTGGACTGGCCTTTCAAGTTGATGAACAACTTCCCCCCCCCCCCCCCCCCCCCCCCCAGTGAATGAATTTAGAGCTTTGAAATGTTGACATGTATGAAGAACCTGGCATATTAAACTCTATCAGGAATTGTGCTTTGCTCTGCCACTTCGTTTTTACTGGACAGCCGCCACCCTTTCCTCACTGTAAGACCTGAATTCCCACTTCAAGAATTAGAGTGGGGAAAATGTGTGCGTTTTCCTCATGCTAAAGAGTCCCGGCAGTCACGCGACCAGGACAAATACATTTGTTCTACTTTGTACGACTTAACCTCGTAAAAGTTGTGTAGGTATCTGCACAAGTGACTTAAGAAATGCTGAGCACCACTGACCTTATGGAGTAATACACACTGAAATGTGAGAAATGACAAGTAAATAATGTTCTGCTCAACTCTTGGTTTGGGGAGCTGACTACAGCCTTCCTAGTATAACATTTTTCACATATTCCTCTGTGTGTTTTCATGCATACACCACGTTTTTCTTTTGATTCCAGCAGATTTCAGTTTGGGATTTTATATTATTTTTTAAATATAGCAAAAAACCCCCAAAGCTAGGTCAAAATATTTGATTTTTTTTTCGCCTCAAGTTTGAGGCATTAAAAACACATACATGGTTTTTGTGTAATTTATGGATTACTATAAGGCGTTATTCTGCATACATCATTTTTTTTGGCTCACCGAAAGTAGATCTTGGGTCAGCCAGAGAATAACATTATGTATCAAAAGTACTGGAAAGACCTTGGTTTGATAGATAATGTAACCGTTCTGGTCAACTTGGAACTATACTGGTGTTGGCCTACAATTATTAAAGGCTATCTGTGTGCTGACTTGCTTTGAAGTGTTTCCTGTTACTTTGTAAAGCTGTCCGTTTCTGTAGATGTCTGTCACATCGGGGTGACGCTGTTGGTTTCAGTCGTGCAATTATCCGGAGCTGGCCCCTTCGCATACCCAACTGCTCGTTGCCAGTGGGAGCAGCTGCATCCCCGTCTGGCTTTTTGGTCCAGTCCAGTCGGCGTGATGGATATGAGACCAAACTGGTGTTCCAACAGTGAGAGCGTTACTGCTATTTTATTCATCATTGAACTAATTATTCCTATAATTACCTTGCTTTATGATTTTGTTTTCTGAAAAGAGAGCAATAGCGTTCTTTCTCTGACTTCTTCAGATTTAAGTGAAATAAAAATTTAAAATTGGTAGTCTTCTCTGAAATAGAACTTTTTTTTGTAATGACATTTATTCTCAGTTCTGGAAATGTTCAGCTGCTGTTCTGTCCTCGGGATGGGTACAGCCCTTACGCACCCGCACATTTCTTCGGTAAATGTTCTTGTTGCCGTCTTTCTCTTTGAAGGATTGCTAATCTGTAACTTGTCTTTTGGTGAAAGTGGTTCGTGGAGCGTGGTTCTGCACTTTCACTAGCGGATCGAACCGGTTTTCTTTTAATGCTTACTAGAGAGGTTTTCAGCAGTTAAGATTCGTTAGCGCTGTTAATTGAGAAGCGATGACAATGAGCACCCACCTCTTATCAGCGTGCCTTGTTTTTTCCTGCAGATTTATTGGTTTAAAGATGGGAAGCAAATTTCTAAACGAAGTGATCACTACCGAATTCAAAGAGAACCTGATGGAACTTGCTCACTGCATACTGCAGCCTCCACCCTGGATGATGATGGGAATTACACTATTATGGCTGCTAACCCACAGGTAAATGAAGGTTTGGCTCCAGAGCAAACGTGCTTCTGGACATAAATCTTCAGAAAACTATCTCATCTTACGTATGCATGATTTAATTAGATGATGAAGTCACCATAAAGTATGTAAGCTCAATTTCTGTTTTCATCTTGCATCAGTAGGGTGGGACCTTTCTATCTCCAAGAGATTAGCAACTCAACAGCAGGTTTTTTTCCTACAGTTTGAGGTTTCAGAGGGGAGGGGGTGTTGTTTTTTAATCACTCTTCCACCATTTATTTCAGTTGATAACATCTCAGTATCCGAACGGAGCATGGATAGCATGCATACTCTAAAGGGAGAAAAAAACCCAGTTTACCAGCAGAAGTAACCCAATCCAGCAATTTCATTTTTCTTCTGTTGACACTGCTCACTGACTGAGGCCAACTCTTTGAAATGAGTAGGAGCATATCACACCTCAGCATGTTTACATTAGGCAGTGATTGCAATTCTGTAAGGCAAAAAATTCTAGCACTGATTATGTAGGGGGGGAGGTCTCCTGTGTTGATCCCGAAGCCTTAAACAATGTTTTTCTGAAACACAGAGTGTTACTGGTTTCGTAATATTATTTGCTCTTCGTAGACCCAATACAAGAGCTGAGGTGTACAACAGAAACCCACTAGCGCGTTGGACACAGCTAAACTTACCGTTCACGCGCCCTATTGAAGTAACTTTGTCATTCCGCTTTTCCTACGGCACAGCAAATTGAAGGGAAAGATTTGCGCGTGAGAAACCAAGGCAGTAACATAACTGTAGGGATGTAACGAATTATTTTCTTCTGCAGCACCAAACATCTTGCAAAGAGCGGGCCTGCAAGGAGAATCACACTGTGAAACAGCAAACTGGATCACTGAGACAGGGTTTAATCTGAAGAGGAGTGTTGTGCTCTGTTGTGAAGGTTGCTAGGTTACTTAGCATGACGCTGCCATTTCTGCCTTGCTCTTTGTCAGTCCTGCTCGTATTGCAGCCTGCTTGCGAGCGTATGGGATCGTACACACGGGCGACACACAAATAGCAGTTTTAGGCTAGATTCTACAAATTGCAGTGCTTAAATCTAGGTGGTTTAAACATTACTTCTACATATACAAATAACAGAAATAAAGAAGTAATAAAGCGATAGCATAAGGCCGAGGGAACTCTTCGAGCTGGGAGCTTTTACACATAGATGACCATTGTGTTCTAACACTTCGTACCACTGAAATTGTGGAAATTCACAGCAGGTTTAAAAATGCGAAATAAATACATAGATGCTCAAGGTAGGAAGCGAATCCTGTTCATCTTCCTGTAAGTGTTGTGTTCGTGCACGTACAGAGTTTCCCTAGGTAGTGTTACTGCCTGATCCAAAGTCTTAGCGAACTTGATGAATAACTGCCGTTGTGTTTGGGCACTGAACTCTGTCCCTGAATAGTTAGGCCCCGCTTTTTAGCATTTTTTATTCTGGGTAATGCTCATTCAATGACACCACAGTGACCTAGGTTATCAGCTCTGCTCACTGATGACACTAGTTTGTTAGTGGGTTTTCAGATGCACTAAAATGAGCTGGGTTTGTATTGTTCCTAGTTTGGGGGTTGAAAAAGCAGTTTTGTTAAATGATAAAACTTTGCATCTGTGCTTTTTTTTCCCCCTCCTCTTTGGAGAAGAACCAGAAGCATCCTCCTCTGGCTCCCCTGAACAAAACATCTGTCTGTTTCACCAAGCCCATTCAATTCTTTCTTCGCCGTGTAATTCCCAAGCAAACATGCTTATCTCTCCCACTATTTGCTTGCTTTTACTATGCATTTAACAGTACAATGGAGGCAAAGAAGGGCTGTGAGTTAATGGCCTAGCCTTTCACACTCAAAGATCTGGATTCCAATTCTTTTAAGTCATCCTGAGTGGAAATAATTTTGGCATAGCCTCCTCAATTCTAATGGAAAGTTGTCCACATCTCAAAGCTATCACAAACTTTGGCAACCTTTCCTTAAGAAAAGCGAAATACGTAAATATAAGGGAGTCTACCTCAGGATTCTGATGGACTGGTAGATATTTGCTGGGCTGTTGCTGTGTTTTGGTCCTTGCTATTGGAACCACCAAACTACAAAGCAAAAAGGCATAGTCTTCCTTGACAGAAATTGATTTTATTAAAGCAAAGGATTCAGTTCATTAAGGCTCTGCCAGTTTCTGCCATCTCACGGTCCGGACTGTTACAGGATTTATGTATGTAAAGTGACTTGTTGACACACCTTGGAAATCGGCCGTGGTAGTTAACACGGCAGGCACCGTTGCCTGCGAGGTAAAACAGGGCGACCTGGAATTAAGGTTCTAGCACACCTCTGGGGTTTGCAGTAACATTTGCCGTGTGACCTAATCCAGGGCAAACTGACCCCGGGCCCAGACAAACACGACACCTCACCCGTTTTAGGCCTGGAGTTACAGGTTGCGTCCCCTCGCTGAGCTCTTTCCATCAGCTGTGTGGGCTCAAGTCGAGTCCTGATTTTCACCTTCTTTCCTTTTATCCCATTCTCTCCACTTTGCACTTTGCACCCCCAGCCCTCAGTCTGGATTTCCCTTATTTTCTAGGCCATCTTCTCATGAATTACTTCCCACTCATCGCTTCCTTCCCATTCATCCCATGACTTTTCCAAATCTTTGGCTTCCTGCTTGTTCTTCCCTATCCAAATTCCTTACTGTCCTTCGTGTTTCCATGCCTTCGTGTTCTGAGATATGCAGGAATTATCCTAAAATGTGTGAATTCGTCACCTGCCAGAAAAAGCTTAACATGCAGTGGTGCCTAAAATAGAAATGCGTTTGTTCCAGATGTCTTTCGTGGTCTTTTAGCACACGCACTTAAGCTGTTGCTTAAGAAATCGCTGCAGGTCATGCACGATGGCTTAGTTTAATGCAAGTATTTCTCTTGTGGACTAAATGGGTCCTGGGAATAAAAGCAGGACACAGAGACGTCATTTCTAACAGTCCAGCAGTAACACAGAGGTCGCTGCCATTTGAAGGCTGCTTGTGACCCCGGTGAAATGGGTTTTTGATGAGCTTTGGCCAGTTGTTAATGAACAGCTATTTGCAAGCCCCCAATTACCGTGACAAAAATATCTGTCGCTTTTATGCTGACAGACTCGAGCGTGGAGCTCACAGAACTGAAACGCCCTGCAAAGCTGGTGTGGATGTTGCCTTACTGCTGCCAGTCCAGGGGGCAGAGAGACAGATGTACATCTTCTAGGCAGTTACCAAAGAGCTATTTAAAACTATCATTTTTCAAAAGTTACTAAAATTGTTGTATAAAAGCATATAAACTTTTACTACAGTGTTATTTTTATGCATAGCTTTTATATTTGTATCTGTTGTGTATATTGATTAATACCACCAGATGCTTTTACCCTGTACATGGTGAATTCTAGAGAGCCCTGGATGTCAGCGTCCCGGCTGCAGGCAGTCCCCTCCCAAACTAGTTACTGCTACTGCTTGTGGCGGACAATCTGCCTTCTGAAAAACAACGTAAAACCAAAAAGGGGACCAAATACAACAGAGCTCATGTTTTATTTATCATTCACTGAAAATAACCTCAGACAACTGAGCTACCTCCGACGTCCACTGGCGCAATTGTGTGCTTTGGTGCGATTCCTGCCCCCAGCCAGGCTCGCTCTTCAGAGAGGACCCTTTCGGTACCTGTACAATTCTTTTGGTTTTTACACTCATGGGGTTTCTTTTGAGCTGTAGCCCCACCAGATCACGCGGATCAAGGCAGCAGCTCTGTCATTACTGCCAACCCATTTTCAAGATCTTGAACTAGTTGTCTTGTCTCCCACCCACATCAATAACTTACCAATATACGGCTTTAAGGACTTAATTGCCCGTGGAACTAATAACCTTCTTTAAAACAAAAACTTCCAAGCGGAACACTTGAACCGCGACTGTGTTACAGTCACAATTATCCCAGTCTGTTCCGTGTTAGATTGGAAGCTGATAGAACAGTTTAATATCAGAAGGTATCTTGACAAATGCTTTTCAGGGACTTTGTGAAAGAAGAGATTGTATTACAGACTCTGTAACAGGTGGGCAAAAAAGAAGAGATCAGGCTGAATGTTATTAATATTACACGCTTTAAGTTGTTTAATGCTCCTCCTCTCCATCATCCCAACAGGGCAGAATAAGCTGCACGGGCAGGCTGATGGTTCAAGCTGTAAATCAAAGAGGCCGCAGTCCTTGGTCACCTTCTGGTCAGCCTCATATGAGAAGGTACTTGATGCTTTTTTTTATTATTATTTTAATAATATGTGTTTTGCTAAATCGTTATGGTTAAGATAAAGAATGTGAAGTAAGAAGGTAAGTTAAAAGTATGGCATTCAGGAAGAAATGTGACATCTGCCGTCTAAAAGTTTCTGCAAAGCTTGCATACTCAGAAGTCTAAGCAACCTCTGCAATGGCAGGACTTCTAAGTATCTTTAATTTTGCCTGTCTCCTCCTCCTTTGTGATGTTCACTAATTACTCCTTATCTGAAGTTACACTATCAGCTTGTGGGAAGGACTTTGTCACTGGCTTTGTTAAAACATCTCACCTGACCAGGATTCTACCAGGAACCTGTACTTGCTGCAGCTTTTAATAAGTATGCATTTAAAGAAACAGCAGAAATAACTGCAGGCCAAAGAAGTTTATTGGATTTACATTAGAAATATTTTAGTATTTCAGTTATTTCAGTTCAGGTTCTTATAAGGAATTATGAGTCAGAAATGAAGTATTAAACTTATCTTTGGTGAGTTTACAATTATTCACATACAAAGCTTTAGTTTATGTTTTTGGACCATATAAGGGAATTCTCCCTTCAAATACTTTTTTTTTCCTTACCCAAAGCATTTATGAGGCTATTTAGCACAGCTTAGACAGCTTTAGATGATACAAAAAAATACATTTTGGTTACCCAAACAGAACTGCTTTCAAGGGAGTCTGAGGGCTCTGGTTCCGGTTTCTGCTGCGATGAGGCACGTGTTTTGCTTAGTGGTCGCAACGGCCACAGAATCTCAGTATTGTCCAGCTGTAACGTACAGAGCAGATGTAATTACCTAGCAATGGGCAACAAAGAAATGATTCCCGTAACCATTAGTAGTGGTAGCAGTAGGTACGGCAGAGCTGCTGCATGCGAGACAGGCTCTCTTCCCCCCTCTGATAACTAGAAAGTACCAGGAAGCGATGTTGGTTGTTTAAAAGACCTTACCCGCATGGAACAGATTGGGCTTCCCGCAGTCCTGAGAGCACTTCCCAGCGTCTCTCGCTGCGGCGCGCCCCCAGCTCCCCCTCCAGCGCTTCCCGTGCAGCCCTGTTACACCCAAAGCTCTGGCTGCTCCTGCAGGGGAACGTCCTGCTGTCGCTGCAGCGTCACAACCGCCCAAAACCGCTGGGCCCATTTGGCGTACAGTAAGCAAGGCCCTGGACACCTGCAAACAACAGGCAAAAATGACAAGTCTGTGTTAATCCCTGAAGGGAAAAGCTGCCAGGAAGAGTCAGGTTTCAGCTGAATTAGTCAGTGCACACAGGGCGAGAAAGGGGAAACATCTTTAAAAACAGGGACGGGAGAAAGGACGGTAGGCCTGGGCAAGAGAGCAGTGAGCAGCTGACGCTTCGCATCTTTCCGAAGGATAAAAGGGGGGGGTCTCTCTCTCTGCCGGGGGCAGAACCCTCGGTAAGAACGGGGGAGGCTCTTTCTTCAGTCTCTCCAAATGCAGTCGAAGTCTGAGGCCGCTTACAGACGGTATTTTATTTTCTAACTGAGACAAGCACTCAGGCAGCCACTATAGCAATTTAACATAGCAGTTTAATTGAAATTAGGGCAATCATTGCGGATTCTTATTTCCTGTAAAATTACCATACGTGAAGGGCTCCTCCTGGTATGTTTGCTTACGGAAGGTCTGTTCCTGCTCAGCATTCAGGACAATACTATTTCTGTTTAGTGACATTTCCCACTGCTCCCGCCATCCAGTTCTCCCTGGGACTGATGAAATTTGAGCAGGTAAAACCTTCCTAGGACAGACTCCCACCACCGGCTTTTCAGGCGTAACATACCACAGTATTGTGCTCCCCCATAGGCTACAGTACGTGTCACGTATATTGCCATATACTTTGGATAAGTAATACTCCTGTGGCATTCCAGTATTATTTCTATAAGCTTTTCTGCTTGAGAGCAACAAAACTTTTTTTTTTTTTTTTTTACAAGTGTAATTATTAGCTTAATGAACTTTATGACTTGTTGCACTGTTGACAGGCTTTTTCCTGAGGTATTTTTAATCCCTTACAGAATGTGTTCTGGCAGAACTCTGGTTTTTGTCACCTTCACTATGTCACAGACATTTTAAAACACTTTGTAGTTGTTATTTCATTTTTAATGTATTTTTCTGAAATTTGCTTAGCTTGCAAACATTACCTTCTTAGCATTACTTTGATGGGGGGGGGGGGGGGGGGGGGGAATTTTGAACCATCTGACGTGTACAAAGCTTGAGCTCAATCCCTTAGACGCCATGGCGCTCAACACTGTAGCACGTAAGCTGTTTTGTGGTGCACAAATAAATCATCTTAATATGCACGAGATTTAAGGAAGATTTAAAAAATAAATATTCCTATTGCCCCTGCTCTCAGTTAGAGGATTAATTTGAACTTAATCTCCTTTATCCCAAATTAGCGATCATTATCATATGGTCAGTCATAAAGTCTTCCCCAGCCTCTTGCTCACCGAAATTCCAAGTGCATTGTGTCACCCCGACCCATGGAGTCTCCCCTGGACGCATTTAGTACCCGATGTCAGTGCTGCTGAAACTGATCTCTGCAATTTGATGCCCACATCACAACTCCAGAGAACCCACAACTAATCCAAGGGTATTCCAGTCTATTGCAGTTGGTCATTCCTAGACATCTGAAGTACTTGGCTCTGCTCGATTCATTATTTCTTTAAAACCACAAAATGTTTTAGAATTAAAATAACCCTAGTTTCACCTCTCAAGGTAAAGGCTTGAAAGTAGCCTGCAATTTCAGAGGTAAATTTACAAAGAGGTAAAAAGAAATGCATGATTTATTTCTGACTCTGGACTGAACAGCATGCTGATTTAGGTTTCCTTTCAAATGTGTAACTTGAAAACTTAGTTTTCACGATTCAAGAGCATACTATCAGAAAGAAACATCTTTGGTCACAAACTCCTAACCTTTTCGTTTTCCATTTCAGTTGGTGTAAATTTTTTCCCCAGTTTCGACCAGTGCTGCCTTTTTATGCCTCTAAACAGGATGCATGTAAATACGACGCAGGCAGATTTTGCCTGGGTTGCTTGCACGGTGTAGCACTCGCTTGACTACATACCAGCACTTCTAGCTGGTCGTGCAGAACCAATTAGATAAAAATTAGACAAAAGATACGAGTACACTTTATTACCACCCATCTTCCATCCCAGCTGCATGCATGAGGCACGTATGCCTGCAGAAACAGCTAGGAACTCGCCAGCTAGAGCTTAGCGTTGCTCGTGAGCTGTAACGCAGGGGCTACTGAAGTAGCTTTAGGCATGTTCAAGTGGCAAAACAACTTGGGTGCTTAAGACCTGGATTTAGGCACCTGAAGGGTTACGTAAGCTTTTAGCAGGCGCAGAGATGTCCGTCTGTCTTCCCCACTTCAGTATCCATTCTGACACTAATAAGCAGTATGATTATATATAATTATTATATATAATAAGCTAGATTTCACACACACACACTTGCCTTTAGTTATAGCTGTGGGAAGCCTGTGATGATCAATAAAAAGTCAAGATGTATCTAGTTATGACAGACAATACTGTAGCAAAAGTGATGACTGGTCAGAATTCGGACAGAGCAATAACAGAGAGAAGGGCAACGACAGAGGACAAAATAAACCAAATTGAAGCAAGCCTCATTAAACTTAACCTCAGTGGAACAGAGTGTGCAGCTAGAGCGTTTATCTTCCGTACAGTAGTACAGCATCGTGTTTTCCAAATGTCACTGTTGGGGGTTTTAAGCTTTTTTTTTTTTTGTTATGAATTATTTTAACCTAAAGAAACAGCCCTGGACAGTAGAAACTGCAGTATAGCCACGTATACTGCAGGACGCATACTGCAGACACTGGCCAAATTGGCAACACTGGCAAAAGTTAAGAGAAAATGGAATTCAGAAAAGAGACCTTCACTGTAAGGCGTCATCGACACAAGTTACGCAGGAGGACCTGTGAGGAGCTCCCCTTCGCTGCAGCAGAGGTTACTGTAGGCAGCAGTCGGCTCCAGAATGGAATCCACTGGAGCTGATCAGGCAAGGACAAAAACTGATCTAAAATTCTGTTTCAATTACAAGTTTCTTTGATTACTAAAGCACGTAAATGGAATGATGCTAATTTCAATTGGGAAAAAAAAATCCAGTTAAAACGAGGAACCACTTAGAAAAAGATTTGATAGGTTAAAGTAACAGGCAAGAATAGCCAATGCTGAAAATGGATTAAATGATATCGTGGAAGCTTAAAAGTGATTGATGCTGTTTCAGGGGACAGGAGTTTTTTCCTTCCTTTTTTATTAAATTGTTTACAGTACCTTTATGAAGAACAATTTAATGACCGAATTTTTCCTGCCTGTTGCTCACAACTGAAGTTCTCAGTGTTTTGACACCACAGTTTGGTGGCTTTGCAAATGTCCAAGACTATCTCAAACAAAACACCTGTTAAATGAGGACTAATTATCCACAGCACTTCAATCCACAGAATTTTCCCTATGGTCTTCAGCAGTGCAGAACAAGAGAAGATGAAAAATAAAAATTAATCTGACGAGAAAGTCTCTTCTCAACTGAGATGAGTTAGCTTTTAGCTGCTATTATTTTCTGAAAGGTAAACATAATTAAGGAACGGTACGTGCACTTTCCTCTGTAATCGGCAACAGCGAAGGGATTAAACCCACAGGACACTAGAAACAGGGAACTGCAGCTATAGGCTAAGGCCCGACTTATTTGTATTTCAGTGATTTAAAGACTAACTGGAAACAAAAATACGATCATGTATAAATAAATGATTATTACAAGCAATTATTCTGTAGCAAGATTGTTTTCTAGATCCTATTTTGCCACAACACGTGAATGAAATGAGAGTAATTAGTAAGTACAGTGTCATAATTAACTCAGTCTGAGCCAAATGCTACCAGGATGTGTGTGTAAATATGGAGTGACTATGGTCTAGGTCAGAGAAGTGATTTAAAATTTAAAGCAGTCTTATAAGGGATGATGGTTCTTCTGATTTAGCAGAGAAAAAAAAATAATTTACCTTTATTTCATGTTATTTTAAGACCACGATCTCGATCAAGGGACAGTGGTGATGAAAATGAACCAATTCAGGAACGATTCTTCCGGCCTCATTTTCTGCAGGCTCCCGGAGACCTGACTGTTCAAGAAGGAAAGCTATGCCGAATGGACTGCAAGGCAAGTATCGCGCCAAGGGTAGCTGCAACCTCGCGACAGACAACAGCTGACTCAAAACCCATGTTATTTGTTTTTAAAGCTGTTGGCAGTTCCAGCGACTGTCGATAGGTTAATTCAGCTCACTGCTTCTGAGCAAGCTGACAACGAAAGTTTGCCTCCCCTCCAGTCAAAGTGCTTCAGGCAAACCTGACCGCTCAGAGTAAACTGATTCTGAGAGTTCAGCCATGCTGGGGTGTGGGGGGAAGCAGCACACGCTATAAAGACAGCGTGCTTCTCCATTTTAAGTCCTTTTACTACTTGGGTCTCGATCTCCCATTAGATTTCAGACAATATAATCTTGATTTATGACTTTGCCTAGCAGAATTAATTCAGGCTTGGATGACTTCCGTTTACTTTTCGCTGATGTATTTGGGAGAAGCTATTTGTTTTCAAGTGGTACCCACAGCAAATGGCACGGCTTTCAAAAGTACAAGACTTGTTCACACAGATCAAGCATTAACTAGCGCAGGCGGTGCCGTCACTAGGTTACACCTAAGTGGAATGGAACTTAGAGTTCAATAATTAGTCAGCTAACATCTTTTTGTCTGCAGCTTTTCCGCAAGAAGTTAATCTAGAAAGAAGTACCTTCTCAGTCCAGGTGAAGAGCAAACAATAAAAAAAAGACAAAAGGTGTCACGCTGCCTTTTGTTTTGCAATGTATTGTTATTTAGCTTCTGGCATATCTAAACACTGATCTTTTTTCAGTCACGCCCGTAAGACATCATGGAATTCAGGGAGTTGGCCAGAAAGTCGGTAAACGAATACAACTGAGTCAATGTGTAATTCAGGACAGAATTAGATCTTTAAATCTTGTGGTACACCTGCAAACAGAACCAAACGTCTCTGAAGTAACAAGTCAGGACTCCTAGTGTTTCGTACGGCTAAGACCTTTTCCCATTATTCTGTTTACACTTAAGGTTAGTGGATTACCGACTCCCGATCTAAGCTGGCAACTTAACGGAAGACCGATTCGTCCCGATAGTTCTCACAAAATGTTGGTGCGTGAGAATGGCGTACACTCCTTGATCATAGAACCGGTCACAGCCAGAGATGCTGGAATCTACACGTGTATTGCCAGCAATCGAGCTGGTGAAAATACATTCAGCCTGGAGCTCATTGTTGCAGGTAACATCTTCACGCTAAGCTTCCGCGCTGAGCACTGCAGGGGTAACATGAAAAGGGACACATGAAAAAGGAAAATGCAAGTGCCATCACATGAGATGGTTGCGGGATGGGGGTGGCTGTCGTGGTTTAACCCCAGCCAGCAACTAAGCCCCACCCAGCTGCTCGCTCACTCCCCCCCGGTGGGATGGGGGAGAGAATTGGAAGGGTAAAAGTGAGAAAACTCATGGGTTGAGATCAAGACGGTTTAATAGGTAAAGCAAAAGCTGCGCGCACAAGCAAAGCAAAGCAAGGGATTCATTCACTGCTTCCCATCGGCAGGCAGGTGTTCAGCCATCTCCAGGAAAGCAGGGCTCCAGCACACATAACAGTTACTTGGGAAGACAAACGCCATCACTCCGAACGCCCCCCCCCTTCCTTCTTCTTCCCCCAGTTTATATACTGAGCATGACATCATACGGTACGGCATAGCCCTTTGGCCAGTCTGGGTCAGCCCCCCTGGCTGTGCCCCCTCCCAGCTCCCTGTGCACCTGGCAGAGCATGGGAAGCTGAAAAGTCCTTGACTGGTGTAAACTCTACTTAGCAACAACCAAAACATCAGTGTGTTATCAACATTATTCTCATCCTAAATCCAAAACACAGCACTATCCCAGCCACTAAGAAGAAAATTAACTCTATCCCAGCTGAAACCAGGACAGTGGGAAAAGGAAACCTGGCAGTCACAGAACTATATTATAGTTATAGGCGACACATTTATGTTATGTTGTGGCAGAAGTTGACTGGCAAGTAACCTCTGCGCACACAGTGAAGAAAAGAGGGCTGTTGCCACAGTTGGGGCCACAAACCAGACTGTTTACTGGAACGGGGGGGTTTAATGGCAATTTGTGCAGAGCCAGATCTACCAACAGGTAGCCAGTACGACATGATTTGTGTGTTTCACAGCGTATTAGGCTAATGCCATTCCAGCCTTCTGGCAGAGCAGTTCCTTCTATAATTAAAAGCCCATCCTTCTATGGAGTATGAAGGATCCCTGTTTAACAAACGTTGTGCAGCCAGTTTATCGGGTCTTCGTGCTCCACATTTCAGTTCTTGCGGGGGGGGGGGGCCCCCCCCGGGGTTAATGGCAATTTGTGCAGAGCCAGATCTACCAACAGGTAGCCAGTACGACATGATTTGTGTGTTTCACAGCGTATTAGGCTAATGCCATTCCAGCCTTCTGGCAGAGCAGTTCCTTCTATAATTAAAAGCCCATCCTTCTATGGAGTATGAAGGATCCCTGTTTAACAAACGTTGTGCAGCCAGTTTATCGGGTCTTCTGCCCCCCCATTTCAGTTTTGGGGGGGGGGGGGGCACCACTCAGCTCTATTAGTGCTCACTTCTTCCCTCTTAAAATACTGATGTGACTCTTTTCTTCTGTTGTTGAAGACAACACTTATGTTTCCTGCCAGTTAGATTTTTCATTATTGGTTTTTAGCATATTGCTGAAAGAAAGGCTACATTTTCATACACTTGTGTCAACATGACTGCAATCTTTATTTTCACAGCTAAAGAAGTACACAAAGCACCTGTGTTTATAGAGAAGCTACAAAACACAGGTGTGACTGAGGGATTCCCAGTGCGACTGGAGTGTCGAATCTCGGGGGAGCCCTCTCCTCAGATATTTTGGAAGAAAGAGAACGAGTCACTCACATACAACACTGACCGAGTGAGGTTAGACTGACTTGGAATAATCTCCCCATGTATAACTTCAGTGACGATTTATCCTGTAACCCAAATGAAAACCTGGAAGGTCTTAAGAATGCTTTGTGTGAAGAGCAGCTCGTAAATATTAACTAGTTATTGTACTAATTGATGACATTTACTCAAACTTGCAGCCAGCCTGCTGGCCGAGCCAGAATTCAAATGTTAGTTCTGTTCTCCAGCCTTGGACGTAAACAACTATCTTTGCACTTGAAGCATGTGGAGAAGTAGTTCTTCTCTTCTGGAGCTAAGATGTATAGAAATTTACTGGCGAAAACCTAGGCTCCTAAGTAAAGCTATCTGCTTCTCAGCAGAAGCCTTCATTCATAACTCTGCTGTGTAGTTAGGCAATTAAGATTCACTTTTTAAAATATTTCTAAGCTCCATAAACTTGTCTTCAATATTTGATAACATTTTGTAGGCATGTTTAAAAGCAAATTCATGATATGTTGCCAGAAAAGGAACTTGTTACTGACAGGACACTGTGATGAATTATTGCTGTCCTTCTAAATAACTAAGAGCATTTCAAGTACCTTGTTCCTCAAGTTTTTTATCCTTTCCCCAAAACCTCTGGGGAAGTTCTGGCGTCCCTACTACTTACATCAGATTTCAGATGTCTTAATCTGTAATCGTGAGAGAAGCTACTTTATGTATTTTTGCTTCTTAGTTTTCAATACAGGATATTAAACTGCCAAATTGTCAAGCATACTGAAGGTTTTATTTTCCACTTGCTAATTTCAGAGGAAGTTCCGTATTAGTTGAAAGCGGACTGTAACTAATCCGTAATTTGGATTGGGTCTTTTTACGTGTAAAAAAAGCCTACGCTGTTTTGCAATTTCAATAGTGATTTTCGACTTTCCTTTTGTTTAGCATGCACCAGGATAACTACGGCTACATCTGCCTGCTTATCCAGGGAGCTACAAAGGAGGATGCTGGTTGGTACACCGTTTCAGCCAAGAATGAGGCTGGGATTGTGTCTTGCACTGCCAGGTTGGATGTTTATAGTAAGTGACTTCAGTTTTCACGATCACATTAATCCCCCCAAAAGCAACAGTTCTACAAGTTTCAGTTTATTCGCAGAATGGTTTACATTGGTCTCTCTTTCTTTTGTTTATAGTTTGTCCTCAATAATAACGATCCACATCAAGACAACAAATGCTCTGTCAAAGTACATTTCGCCATCTTTCAGATACCTAAAGCAAAACAAGCATGCATGCTTTCTGTTTTTGCTTAGTATTTTAAATATAGCTGATTAACAACAGATAACGGCATGACTACATTATTTTTGTGGATCATTATTACTATTGCTCTGCTAGCACTTCCCTAACCGTTTGTATTCTTTCGTACCTTAGTCTGTAATACACCTCTGACAGCTCCCAGAAGCGTAGTAGGTGTTTTTATGGCTTTCTGCTTAATTATTCAGTTTGTTCCGAAGCAGCCACTTACATAGTGAATGTTTTTTTAAACCAAAATCTCTTACCAGTCGTCTCATAACAAGAATTAAGGGGAGAGATGGGAGTGATGAGGGATGGTTTCCGGGGTGGCGGCGGCAGGGGGCCTGGCACGTTAGAGACGTGGCTCAGCATTCTTCAGCGTACGAGGGGCGGCAGTGGCAACCAGATGATTTCCTGTTATATGCAACAACCAACCCTTGAACAGGCCTGTCACTGTAACGTTAGTGCGCAGAAACAAACCCCTTGCTGTTACCCTTCTCAGTGACCCAAGGAAAGGTAGAAGGCGATGCCGAAAAGGCAAAGTAAGAAAACCACAGACACACTACTGTTTTTACTTACCACATTTGAAGGTGAAACCAGATGCTGAGGGGAAAAAAAAAAAAAAACACCAAGAACTGAAACAAACTTACCTTTGACGTACTGGTTTTCTGCTGCTCAGAAATCAGTATCTCCTTTATAGAGGGTTGATTGTGCATCTGGTACCCTTTGTTGCACAGCTGAGGATGGCTAACGTTTTTTCTTTGCTTTTTAATCTATAGCTCAGTGGCAACAACCACCTCAGACAACCAAGCCAAAGAAGGTGCGGCCCTCAGCCAGCCGATACGCGGCACTTTGTGACCAAGGACTAGACATCAAAGCAGCTTTCCAGCCTGAAGCAAATCCAGTCCACCTGACGATGCAGCCTGGCTTGGTAGAGAGCGATGATCTGTAGATCCGGCGGCCGCTTCCATCGTTTTCTTTCAAAGCAGAAACACTGAAAGCCATTGCCTTGACCAATGATACTCCTATGTCACTTTATGCAAAGGCAGACACCTTCAAGTACGAAAGATAAACAACAAACACAATAACCATATATTCCTTATTCATTATACCAAATTAGAAGAATAGCTAGGTTATTAATAGAAATGTACACATTGCACAACAAATCACGTTCACCAGTTCCTTATACCTAAGTTGCTTCAGCTCTTACGAGTAACCCTTTCCATAAAGGCCGAAATACATCAGAGAGACAGATTTTTCAGAAGAGAACACTATTTATCACTACATGCCTTCATGAGCAGTAAGTAGATGCTACACAATCTTAATGGTGCAAGATGTTTTATTTGAGGCCATGAGATCACAAAGAAAATTAGAATGTATGGTTACCTATAGTTCTAAAATGGCAATGCATTCTGAGAGCTACAACGAACAAGTGCAATATTGTAAGAATAAAACAGGAGGGGACAAGCAAGAGAAACGTAAGCAAATGCTGTATCTCTGCACACTGCTTTCTGTTCTACAATGAAAGAAATATCTTGCCTTATGCTGTTAGTACGGACAATTCTATAAAGCGACATCAACGCTGTCATTTTAAATTCTTCCGTATTTTTCCTTTTTGCCGTCTAGGAGGAGGCTGACTTACAAACAGACAGCCAAGACACTTCAAGCATAAGTAATTTAACCTCTTCAAGATAACGAGGAAAAAGAGCTGACACGTAGTAACAGTCTACTCCAGACTATAAGTATTGGTAACTAGATGGGAGAAAAATGCCACCAGCGTGACCCGCTGCAGGAGCTTCCTGCAGGGGGTGGGAGGGGGACAGGGCACGGGGCTGAAACGCTCTCTGGATTTCCTGAAGGCAGACGGTCTGTAACCTCGTAATACTCCCATGCGAGAATCTGAAATTCTAAGGTGAGCCAAAACCTAGGGAGTGGATGTATGGGACGTTCGACTGTTCAAAGCTTGTGTAATGTGTACGAGGATTTTAGAAATGCGTAGCAAGTGAAAAATGGGTTGAGACTGCAATAGGAATTTAAGTGACAAGTATACACCACAGGTGATGAGCTTGCAGATCTGAGGAAGTAGAAGATGAAGATGGACAAAAGCAACATCAAATTTGCGCCTTTTTTTTTTTTTTTTTTCTTTTTAACATAGCATGTGTCTCTGGTAGACGTTATTTTTTTCTTCTCCCAGCTGTAGGCCAATGACAGCTCTTTTAATGGGAAGAGCCTGTGCGCCGTAGATGAAAAGCCTGAAGGCTACTTTCAGAATGCAAGGCAAATCCACACCAAACTGGAGCCCCACCTCAGTCAGACCTGACTGGGTAGTTTTAAATTAGAACCAAATGACTTCCAGCTGAAGGGGAGGGAGGGAGGGAAGAGTTACTAGGCCTGACAAGAAAAATGAGCATTTGATGGTACTAGCTATGATACTTTGCTATGAAAGGAAAACACTGTATTCCTTATATGAAGCACATATATGGTATCTTTCATTATTTATAATAAAAGTGTTGAAATCTTTTATCTCAGTTCAGTTATTCAGAAGTTCTGTACTTAGGGTTTTTTTTTTTTAATTTTGTAATTGTGTACACCATATATTGCATTACTGCTATACGTGTATTGCTTTGTAAGTACACAAAGTTTGTTTTGTTTTTTAGTGACTAATAAACTTTAGCACATAAGGTAGTACTATTCTGGTGCAGGATATGACCAGTTATGGGGATCGTTAATCTAGGTTAACATCATAGGCTGTCATCTGGGAATAATCTGACTCGATTCTAGAACCAGTATGTCATATCATTTGCCAAACTCTTCTCGACTGTGACATGCTAATTTACTTTTTTGTTTAGCTTCACTAGCATTATTTTGCCACCTTCTATTTGTATTTATAAAAAAATGTATTATCGTTACTTTGGATTGTTGTGCTGATATCATGTGGGTTTAACATCAATAAATATTACACAAATAGAAAGCTTTCCTTCTGGTAAAGACTATTAACTGTTTCAGTAGAAGCATGCAAGTGTAAGATTTAGACATTTCAAATATTATGAATACAGGTGAAACGAGGGCTGTATGCAGCACCTAAAAATGGCTAGAATTTATCAGTCTTCTGCTTGTGACCCAGAATCTTGTTTAAACAAAACGGAGGAACACGACCCATAAATTCTGAGAAACTTCTGCCAAATAAAAGTACTTGAAGATCCTTTCTTTTAATAGGGTAGAAAATACGCGGGTCTACTTCATGTGTCTACTAATTGCAATGTGACATCACTTAGAACGGTTTCTAAGTAAAGGGCATGGTCCAAGCGCTATTAAATTCATTTAAGAAGAGTCTCCTAACAAGGCAATATCAAAATTAAAAAAAAATAAAATGTTAAGATCTACTTGTAAAATCCTGAGTATTAACTAGCTTCTCCTCCTCTCCTTTCTGTGCAAAGATACCACGAAAGATGCAAGGCGGTAATTTTTTTTCTTTTAGGTTTACATTTCAAGCACTGATCGCTACAAACAGAATTATCCCAGCAATTAATGAGCACTGACATTACTGGTGCTACTGCAACCAAAGTCAATGGAGTTCTGGCTGCTTACAGTAAATTTGTCTTTGGCTTAGAGACAAAAAACGGAGACTGCTCTTGTGAGCTGGTTTAAGATGAGGTCATCATCACTTTTTGCCTCTGTATGTATGTACAGACACACACTTAAGTGGTAAATCACATCTCTAAGCAGCAAAGTTGTTTTTATGAAAACATTCAGCTGTGCTGTTACTTAGTTACTGGGACTGTTTGGGTTTACAAATTCAGAGATACAAGCGTGGCACCAGAAAACGACAGACTTTTCAAGCCAAAAATCTGAGATTCTTGGAAGCATCGAAGTAACTTTCAGAAGTTTCATCCCCCTCCACAAACTCCAAAGATAGACAGTATGACCTGAAAGTGCACTTGTACCATTTTATGGGACTAAAAAAAGAAGTCCGACCTTATTGCAAGACTTCAGGTTCAGCTATGGGAAGACTTGAGATTAGTTAGGAAGCTGATCAGCCCGCGTGTGCTCAAAGCGGTCAAAGACTCAATGCAGCCACATCCAGGATGACGACAGAAACCTCTGTCAGGAGCGCCGACTGCGAGGTGCAGAATTCCGCATGCAGGAAGGTTTTTTTCAGCCGGCGGCGTACCTTAGCACACAACGCCTTTCTCCTGCAACCGCACAACCACGGCAACAAGTAGTTCACGCACAGACACAATTTCTTTTCCATCACAGCCAACTGGGGGTTGGGGCTCAAAAGCAAACTGTAGTCCAGTTCGAAACCCTAGCTAATAAATCATAGTTTCTCCCTACGTGACCACTTTCAAAGGCCATTTTAATTCACTTCGGTTGTATGCTAATAAATGCCTTGCCTCCCCTCACATGGAGAACTACATCCTTATCTCTGCACGCAGCCCAAACGGTTTTAATATGTAAGTAAGTACTTCGTGAGATCACATTATCCATCATGTCAGGATGCTGAGGGGATCAGCTGCAGGCTCTGGCTGCACGACCCAGCTGCCAGGCCCAGCCTATGTAGTACAGATGGATTAATGCATGGACTGGAAACGCCTGCTCAGATTCTGCACGTTGACAACCGCCCTGACTCCCTGCCTCACGACTCAGCTGTGCAGGCAAGGGGCAGGATTTGCTGACAATCAGCTCCTTCTCCTGAACTGGCTAAAAGAAAAAGCCCTCCCCCTGCACAGCTTCGCTGCTTGAACAGAACCATGCGCACGTAAGAGACATCAGGCAGACGAAAACACAGCGCCTGTCCCAAGAAATTTACAATCCCTTCCAGACAGCACACGGTATTCTTTAACGTGTCTTAAAGCTTGCAACTCCAATCCAGAATTAAGCCACAATTTGCATCCTTTTACAAAAATGATTAATACCTAAAATAATCTCCTACTGCACTGAATCTCTAATAAAAATGTCAGTGTTTGGAACACAAAGCTCAACGCACGCTTAGAGCAAAGAAGCCAGGCTACAAGCAACAGTACCTGCGCAGCAATGATGACTTCAGCAGCTCTGCAGAGGAGGAAGGCGAATGAACTTCGGTCCAACACCACCAGGAAGGAGAAACTGTTTGCTTTACAGAACAACGGCAGTGCAGCAGGAAGGGCCAAGTCTCGCAACTGCTGCCACTCTCTAGTTCTGCAGTAGCCAAAGTGGTTCAGAAACAGCTGCAGAACAAGAAAGGAGAAAAAAATAACCACACATGGCCACTACTCAGAATGGTGACATCATTTACAGCAGGAGCTCTACAAACCTCATCGCACTGAATGGATTAGGTTTGTGGGTTTTTTATTTTTTTGCCTGAAACCGTTCTGTTAAACACACAACTAAACACATCGTCAAGCTTTTTTTGGCCGATTCTTGGCCCAGACATCACGGAGTATTTCTACAAAGGAGAAGGGATGGTACAGAACTACACTGCCAAGGACAGGACCTTTCCAAGCTACTGCAAAAGGTGTTGAAAATACCGCGTAAGCTAGGCCTTCCCACACAACAGGCAGCACACCTCTACTGCAGATTAAGAATGAGTGGATTTTGGAGATGGCTTTTACCGGCAGCGTTTGCCTGAGCAACTGCCAGGGTCATTTGTAGGAAAGGGCCACTGAAACAACCCCTGTTTTACCACACTATTCTCTAGTACAATGCACAACTCTGTTAACACAGTAACTAACTCACTTCCTCCTCCAATACTTCAGAATCACATTCACTGAGCATTTTTGTAATATACTGTTAGTCTACAACAGAAGTTTTCCCTTTCTTAAATTCTGTATTAACTTCAGCTGTACAATCTCTCATCATTTACATTCACGTTTAATAATGTATAATAAACGAAAAACCTAAAATCAATGTCACTCTTCTATCAGCACAACTGTTTGTTAGTAAATCCAAACATCTTGAACTGTACATGAATGATGTCATTTCAGGCATGGAACAGCAGCAGCTTTCAAGAATTTCAGTTTGTAAAGTTCCAGATCCGCTTTCCACTAGGAAAAAAAAGTGTAATTACATAATGTAGATCTCCAAATCTACAATAGGCTCTGTTAGTTATTTCCCTCAAAGTCCTGTATTTGAAAAGCGTAAGTTAAAAATCGTAATGGAAGAATGAAGTAATTTTTGAATTATTTTTAAGCTTTTTCTGAGCAGCAAATCCATTAAACAACCAACTTCATAAAAGCAGAACAAAGTTTTCATTTGTGATTATTAGTGTTTTCTTGCAACATATAAAAATGGTTATAAGAAAAGGCACAGCTACTGCTAGTCACTGTCATTCCAAAGAAAATGAATTTCAGGTCAGCCTATACATCCTAAAAGCGGAGACGGAATGTCACAGTGCTCCCAGTCACTAATTCCGCGGACTAAGACACCAGCGACCTGTCTCTGCCCAGGGCAAGTGGCATCGAAGCCTAAGGTGAAGCAAAAAGAACACAGCACCTTCAGCAGGGAAAAACAATGCTGCTGATCAGTGGGTCTCCACCGCCCTC